GTGAAAGGAATTCTGCTTGAAGTTTGTCGTCTGCCTTCAGGCAAGTGCCTTTCGCGGAGTGAAAGCCAGTGCTCCTTTGTGGAATACAGGGACTATCGCGTTGTTTACAGGCGGTCCTGCAAATTCCAGAGATGTGCTGGGACATGGCGTTTTTGTTTTCCATTCGTTTCCGTAACAACTGATGTACAGTCAGCATGACCTTTGTACAGTTTTTAACCTTGCCTGTAAGGAAGGCAGGTGTCTTTTTAAACCCCCTGTTGGACTCGTTTTCGGGGGTGACTGTTGGCCTGGAAGCAGCTTCTCGCTTCAAAAACCGCCAGGCGGTATGCTTCTTTGTATTTCATTGCCGGAGCCTGCGGCGTGCAGAGTCTGCCGTCCTTGCCTGTGGTCCTGCTTTGCCCGCAAGGTCGGAATAGACAACGATGAGGATTGCAACGAGCTTGCGATCTTGGAGTTCATCCACACCCTTGCTTCATACTCAGGAAGAATTTGAATGTTGCCCCCATGCAACTGCCATCCGATTCAATACCTTGTAGGAAACTCTAAATCTCAGGAGTTAGAACGAAATTGACTGTAAACCAGAGTCAGAGTATCTCAACTCTAGATTTCATCCGCTTCTTTTGGGTTGTTTCATGTCACTGCCCTGGGGCTTGCCTCCAGATTTAATTCAGTTTTGACTTCATCCACTAACTTTGGTTTCAATCTGGATGGGAGCCTTGCTATAATCCATGCAGACTTTCCCATGGCTACAATTTAGGTTCCACCCTTTTTGTTTGTGCCTGATGTATTAAAGGATTTACTTTGGAGTTGATCTTGTTGAACTTCGCATGTAAGTGGTTTGACTTTGGAGTTGATCGTGTTGAAATTCATATGTAAGTGGCTTGACCTTGGAGTTGGGCTTTAGTTTGGAGTTGATCTTGTTCTTCAAGGGTCTGATAGATTAGAGTCTGGATTGCAACGCAGCTGTGATTGCAGCCTCAATCAGATCAAAGCCTTGCTCCCTATCCTTTAATATAAGGAAAGGGGATGCTTTATTATCGTAGATCTCATGGTGATGCTGCAGTGATTGGTTTGGATCCTGCTGAAAATAGATCCCATGGCAATGCCGCAGTGATTGGTTTGGATCCTGCTGAAAATGTTGTGGCACTCCGTTGCGCCTCCTAGAGTGAGCTCGCAACCTCCGAAGAAGAACAAAGGAGGTGGTGTTCGCAAAGCTTGGCAAAGGGTGGCGACTTTTGAGACCAGTGATGACTTGAGACTTGCTGCTCGGAAGTGGCTGCGAGAGAAGGATGTTATCCATCGGCCCTCGTCCACTAGTAGCAACAAGAAGAAGCCATGTATCTTGGCTCATTGTCCGCCTGCACCGATTGCTCGAAGCAGTTTTGCGGCAGCTTTGACACCCCTACCACCTTAGTTGACAACAAGGACGGTGTTGGCCAAATTGCATGTGCTGAGTGAAAAGGCAGACATGTGGAATGTCAATGCCCACGTAAATAGGAAGATAGAATGCAAGATGTATGCTAGTTGAAAATCGATGATTAGATATGATACAGATAGATAGGTAGATAGATAGATAGATAGACATAGATAGATAGACAGATAGGTAGATAGATGGATAGAAGACGGACCCAGGGAACTTCTGCAAGCAACATGATGACTTCCAAAGGCCTGAACACCAACGGCAGAGTGGGAACGCCTAGCAGAAAGCGTTTCACAAGCGGCTGAGCGGTTTGACGATCAGCAGCTGAACACGGCTTTGGTCATGTCTCTTGAAGAGAACGAAGAAATGCGCAAAAAGCTTGCTGCCAGCAGAGCTCACCTTGCTCCGCCTTTCAGAGACCTTGGCCTTGAGCAAGTCGAGGCGCGAGGAGATGGTAGCTGTCAGTTGCTCGCTGTGTGCTGCAGCGCTGAGATTCCAGAGGGTGTGCAAGACTTTTGATCGCAGGTGGTGGCCTATTTGAAGGACTTCCGATTTTCTCTATTTCTTCAAGGTTTAGGAGTTACTGGCAATGCTTTGACAATATGCTGCGCCCCTCTTCTTGGGGAGATGAACTCACCCTTCAAGCCAGCACGCACCTACTTTTGCGATGAATTGTCGTCCAGCGATAACAACATTGAATCCCAACGAAGTTTTTTGCCACGAGCCTCATTTCGAGGGAGGCTTGGGGCCCTGAAGTGCACATTGCGCACGTTGGCCAGTCTCACTTCGAAGCAATTGCTCCAATACTATCGCCGCCACAGACACCGACGAAGCAGTGCAAGCAAGAGCCCGCTGTCAAGGGAGAACGCTGCAGTTAAACCGAGGCGATCTTGCGACCGCAGGCACCGAGTCAGTCTTGGAAAAGCAGGTTAAACCCAGAGTGGAGCGGCGGAGAGGAATCCGAGAAGACAGCATCTCAGACCCAGATTTCCAATTCATGAAAAGACAAAGGAACAAAGTAACCCATTCAACCTTAGATTCCAACCCTTTTCTACTACCCACTCTTGTGGATGGTGGTATGAACGAGCAAATCCAGAGTTGACCCTAACCTGCCTGCAGGTTCCACGCATGCCCGGTTAGAACCCTAAGTTTGGATGCAAGCTGCTGGAGTTGCTGGAGTGGTGTATCTAAAGTAAAAATGCTCCCCTCTTGGCTGTGCTGAACACAGCCTCAATGTCTGTTCCCAGACCGATCGTGCAGTCTCAGGCGCCATGGGAACATCATTTCGCTCCAGTTTCCATCTTCGAATCTCCTTCACCGAGACTGGGAGTACTTAGCTAGGTTGCACGTACTAATAGTAGGGCACTGTCTGATGGTTTTTCTCCCCGAGATTGTTGGGGAAAGCCCTGACAATACGTTTAGGGGAATCATGGAGAAAAACTTGGAACTTGCTCAGGCTCCTGCCAAATACTGCGCCAGCACATCATATATTGTTTGGGTATCAGCTTAACTGGATGACACAGTTGCTTCGCTTTGTGCAACAAATAGCTACAAAATGCTGGAAAAATCAAGAAAAATCCCCGACAGTTAGAAACATGTTGTTCACTCTGAACAAATGGCCCAAACCACCCAACTTCATGCTGATGCCTGGCCTACCTTTTGATGGCGGGTCATGTCCAAAAATGAAAAACTCCGGAACCTCCTCCTCAACCTCGTCCGGAACCTCCTCCGGAACCTGCTGCGCAACCTGCTCCGGAACCTGCTCCGGGACCTGCTCCGGAACCTCCTCCGGAACCTTGTCCGGAACTTGCTCCGGAACCTGCTTCGGAACCTGCTCCGGCGCTTGCTCCGATCTGCTCCGAAGTCTTTACTATGGCAGAAGACCCCTAAAGCTTTGCTGTTGGGGAAACATACGTCAATGATGCCAGACTTGCCAATCACTTCACAACAAGTGTGTATGCTATACGGACATATGACATATTTTTGTTCTGCATGTACGATGACCATTCTTTTTGCAACGACTCTCACAAACGATGTGCGAGTGAAAAGGCGTTTGCTCGAAGCAGGAAACCGTGTTGGATGAGCTAAGGTAGAGACTCTGGACAAGTGACCCTGCATGTTTGTTGTTTTGCTTTGCCCCTCTTGGTGGTTGTTTTGAAGTCCCAATCCAAGATGTTCGAGGCAGAACGTGAGTCCAAAGTGGGTGATTCAAGAACATGCAGGTACTTCGAGAACGTTTGCGAGCTGGATATCATGTCTGCTCCCTGCACCACTTCAGCCCAATTTTCAAACCACATGAGTTCAAAAAACGATTGGAACTGGTTTGCAGCGCAGAGAAGCTCGCGAGGGTCTTAATCACGGCAGTTTGCAGCTATAGTAGCACTAGCAGTTTGACCAACTTGAGGGTGCAGAGCGTGTTTGAGCTGAAAGAATCCTTTTTGCCAGATGGACTGCCCCACAGAAGTTGCTCGGTGCCCCGCCAGAATGGACTCGAATCCGCCGAAGCGAAGCCAGAAATTAACCGTTGAGACTCCAATCAAAATTTTTTTGTCAATGTATTGTATTCCTGCAAGGATGATACCGCAGACTCAAGAATACCTTAACCGAACCAAATCCAGCATCAACATGCATTCACCACCCCGGCAGAGCGCTTGACGAGACTGGCGGAAAAGGGGCCTGGCAAGATGGTGTGGTGCATATGTGCCATGTCGAGGACAGATTGGGCTTGAACACAGGCGATCCTGTAGCGTTGTTCATGGCTCCATGAACTAAGCCTGTTCTTTGATGAGTAAATCAGGATGCCGATGGGCACCAGCAGCTCAGCTTAGATTAGAGTGGAGTGAAGCGTGCAACTGGTAGAGAGTTTCCAACTGTTTAAAGTGTTCTTCTCAACAAGCAGAGGAGGGGCGCGAAAGCATCGTGCCAAATGTTGCAGATATCGGTGCAGATACCGGGTATACCTGTTGGAGTCACTGCAACGGCTACAAGAAGTTAAGTTGAATTCCAGCTTTTGCTCGTCCTAGCCTTTGCTTTCTGAGGTTCTTAATTCTTTCCTCATGACAGTGTGCTGATCAAGGTCAATCTGAAAATCTTCTGAGAGATTCTTCACTTGTTTAACGAGAAGGGTTGAACAGGTGTGTTTAGCTACTTCGAGATGAGCTTTCGCCAGAGACTCACCACCGCAGGTGCCACCACACAAGGAGTCGCATTCATTTGGGCGACTTAGGGCAGTCGATAAAGCGTTGCCTTGCCAAAGCCATCCAAAGCCAGCAACAGACCTGATGCTGTCCTAGTTGATATTCAGTTCAGTGATAGTTTTGTGTTTTTCTAGGGTCACTTTACCCCTCGGTTAGTAGGGTACCTGTTTTAGTCCAAAATGACCAACATGAACAACCACTGCTGGAGGCATTTGCTTGGTACACCAGAGCGGCCGGCCGAGGAAACACGCTCGCAGCATCACCGGGCGGATTGCCCGGCTTGGCCGTGCAGGAGCAGCGACGGGAGTTGAGAAGTGAACGCTGAGGCCAAGTGGCACATTTTTGTCTTCCCCCGGGAAGGCAGTTCCATTGGTGACCGTTGAATGACGAAACATGACGTCCGTTGCCGTTCGAGCTTCGAAGCGCTCGAGCTCCGCGTCGCCTCCTGCATTTTGGCGGTTCAAGCTGGCGTTGTCCGCGTTGCTGTGCAAATCGGTTCCGGGACAGGCGGCTCACTTGGACAAGCTTTGTTTCCGGTGGTGCCGCGTTTCGATGTGGTGAAACACCAGCAGTTGGATGCCAAGGACATGCGCGCAGTGGCGAAGTTGAGGTGCTTGCAGGAGCTCATGTCGGACGAAGCAAGTCGGACAAAGCCGCAAAAGGGCTGTAGCAGACTACAACCGCTAGCATCCTTAATCGTTTGATATCGTTTGTATGCATCCAGGCACTATACATCTGCAATTGTATCTTCAGACCTCTTCGATTTGAGCTTTGACTCCAAACATGTCTTGCCCTGGAAGCGTCATGTTCCCGTTGCTTCAACGTTGGGGGCCCCGCGCTCAAGACTTGATGAAGCGCCAGAAGGGCGACGAGCTTTCTGGGTGGTGTTCCACTTCTCGCCAAACACGGCACTTGTGATTGGGCAACGAGCTTCCTGGAAGAAACAAGGGCAGAACAAGAAGCTACTAGGGGCTCCTGGCCTTACTACTAGGAACAAGGACACGACTAGCTACAGAGTTTCCAACCATCAAAACGCTGAATGTCCGCTGGGACAGGCGTTGCGCCGCCCTGCGACCACCTGGGCGGCCCACAATCTGCAGCCGAGGTGTGGATCGGTGGGTGGAAAAGGTAGGTCCAGGTAGGTGAGGCAAACTGTTTGAGAGTTGCATGTGAATTGAACAAGTTCATGTTTGTATGAGCACCTTTCGGAAGAAACCCGGACTTGCAAAAGCACCCAAGTCATTGTATGGGAAGCAATTATTACCTCATGTTTAAGAAAGGTGAAGGGTTTCTCAGTGTGGCAACATATGTCGGGGTTTTCCAGGAGCGGAGAGATTCTGGAGTCGTTCTTACCTCCTGCAGCTTCTTGGACATCGATTTTGTACCAACAGGAGTGTGATGCCTTACTTTTTTATTGGGAGTCTTCGCTGGAGCAGGACTCTCCTACTGGATGGTTTTGGGGTCCACCGCTAAGGCAGCAAAGCCTGCCACGATCACTTGGAATCTGCAGCTGAAAGATGTGCTGACGGGCAATTCATTGTATCCCTTGGAATCGCTCTGGGTGCATCAGGTACGCAGCCAGGGTGTCCCACCTTCATGATAAATAGAGTTGCAGTATGTTGCAGTTGGTTGAACCGGTTGCTTCTTTGCATGCGCATGGTTAAACATTGCATTTAGACCATACATAGCTCTGGCGCACTTCAATGTCCTTCTCCTTCCTGTTCGTCTCTTTCAGTGGTGCCATATCTTTAAACATGCGGAGCTTGTTGCAGGGAAGGCTGCGTTGCCGCCTGGTGGCCTACGTCCAGGGCTCCTGCTTTCACTTACGCTTACGGCCTTCTTGCGAGGCAGAAGCCGTTCACTTTAAGCCGCTCACTTTGGAAGTTTTAGACATATATGTGACAAAATATACACTATATCATTATGGATGAGAAACATTCGCTTGGAGGTAACTTGTAAAAGATGTTTTTTCATTGTTTTTTCACTATGAGACCCTTCAAAGGAACCATACGCTGGCGAGGCTGGCCATGTGGTGGAAGAGATGGAATTGCAGGCGATGCTGATGCTCGGCTGCAAGCCGGTCGAGTCGACCAGAACCCGGAACTTGGAGTGACACGACAGAAGTCAACCAAGTTGATGTGTCAATCACTTCGAACAGGTCCACAGCCTTGATCGCTTTTTGGATGACAGATGTCTGGCCACTCTGAAAATTTGCCGCACGAACGCCGCTAGCCATGCTTTTTGCTGGGCTGGAGGAATCTGTTTGGACTCACCGAGAGCCCTTTGAGCGCCTTTATCACAGAAGAGAACTTCCATCATAAGGCGGCTGAACTGCGTGGTCTGATGGTTATGGGAAGACAGACCAACACTGGTCAACATGAGTTGACCTTTTGACTGAAGAACCCATGTCCAGGCACAACTGGGTTAAGTTTTCCTAAAGATCTAAGAACCAAATCATTAGTGCGAGCGCTTCTTTAAGGAAGCTCTAAGCTCCCCCCGCGCCCTCAGGCGGGGACAGCTTCCTTGAAGAAGCGTGAAGTATCCTGCGTCCAGTTACTGGAAGCTAACTAGTCGCCCTTACTCAATTAAGTATTAGGAGGGCAGACAGGGGCCCCCACGGGCTACAAGAAAGAACCACACACAGTGTCTGCGTTGTTTTTCCGCATCGCCTGGGTCCCAGCGACCCGCCAGGGCGTGGCCGTGGAGCTGAGCGATTTGACCGACCGCATCCGCGCGGAGCTGCGCCTGCGCAAGTTCGCTGCGGTGCTGAGGTGCTCAGTTCGAGCGGTTCGCCGCGGTGCCGGGGCAGACAAAGAGCGTGGGCTTTGCATGGTGTCCTTGGTGAGTTGGATCAGGAAGATTAATATGATAGGCTGATAGGTCCTGCTGAACAGAAGGAGTGTAGCTATGACATTTGTGAAATTGGAAGGGTTTTGGCTGACTCTCACGGTCACCCGTAGAGGATTGTTCCAACCCTTCCAGTCTTTGCCCTTGTGTTGGTGACGTGAAACACGTCATTTTTAATGTCTGCAGGCCAGACATGGGGCACTTTGATGCAGCCTTAGGGCATGAGAGCCCGCGACTGGATCTCGTGACCACGACTGAATCGTCGGTGCCTGAGATCGAAGGGGGGCGATGTCCAAGCGCGGCCGCGGTGGCCGGCCCGCGAGGGTAGGAGAATCGCGAGGGTAGAGGAGTAGGCCATTGAGACTGAACAGATAGATACTCGGTCAAGCGGAGTCGAAGATTGAACGCTTTAGTTGGAGATGTTCTTTTCTTTGCTAAGCTCACCCCAACCATGGGCGGTTCAGCTTGGCTTCTCTCTTGGCACCGGTGTCAACTACCGGTGCCTCAGCGTGCCGATGTAGCCGCCCATCGACCTGCGACCGGCCAGGGCTCCCTCAGAGCTCGAAGGCATGGCACCCGCGTGCGGTCTGCGCGTGGAAAAGCGCACGCGCGATGCAGAAAAGGTGATGGTGCGCGCTTTCTCGATTTGGATTTCATAAAGTACTCCCCAATCTTCGACATGTAGACTTGAGCAGGCAGCAATAAACCTCTAAAGTGGGATGATTAGGCGTGTACAGTTTGATGTTCAATCTGGTGATGCCGCAGGTGAGCCTAGAACAGGTGAAGTCAACCAACGAGGGGGATGAGTGCAATGTACAATCTGAATTTGAAGTTTGTGTACATAGCAGAGTTTGTGTGTAAAGATGCTGACAAGCTACATCAGACTGCTCAGATCAGAAGCCAGCCATGGCTTTGAGAAGGTAATCTCTTCGTTGGGTCATGCTTCTCAATGTGAATGTTGACTCATTTGTCGGGCGGCAACAAGAGGCTGAACCCAAAGTCAGGATTCACAACGCCCAAACAATTCAGAGCAGGAGTTGGAAGTTGCAGTCGACGACCGCACAAGTCTCATTTGTTAATCGTTCAGGTAGGACAACTTCTTCTGCTCTTGCTTTGCACGAGGTTGGCATTTGCTTGAAGTGTATCCTGTTGCAGGAGTTTTCAAGCTGTACAGTGCTTTCACGATTTCCCTCTCCGGGAAGACCATCAATCGAACCAGGTGCAGATGTCTGTAAAAAGCCGTCGCAGCAACGCAGAAGGTGCGTGCTGAAGATCCGGAGGGACGACTCAACTTGGCTTGGCCAAGTGGAGCGACCATGTTCGGCTTCTTCGCAGACCAGGACGCTGGCAGCAGGCACTGCAGACTCTTCGACGATACCAGGCAGGATTGATCAACTGCATCTTGAACTGGGGCATGATGAGAGGAGAACAGGCGAAAGAGTGCTGATTCCAACAAATTGGTGGTGATCAGGAGCTGCAGGATGTCGACGTGCAGATGTATGGTGCACTCTTGGGAGCCACTTGCTGAAGGTTAGACGCTACTTTCTTGACTGGTTTGTTACACATTTAGGTTTGTTGGAGTCTGGCAGCTGTTTTTTTCTTGAACTGATCCAGACACTGGCGGCTCGTCAGTTTTGCTTCGAAACTTTGAGATTAGAAGGGTTCTCAAGCCAACTCCAATGGCTTCCAACATGCGTGCTGTTGGCGCAGCCAGTTGTGGGATGGCCAGTCCGGCCACGGTTCAATCCCCCATATCTCAGGCACTCTCGCGCGTTGGTCTGTGGGAGCAGGCCTGAAGTTGTGCGGTTTTGTCCGTTGGTATCATTGAGGGTGTTGGAATGCATCAAGATGCCAATGTAGACAAAAGCCCTTGGTCCAGTGGTTTCATACACTCTTTTTACATACGAAAGGTGTTTTTAAAAACACAGAGCATTGGAAGATGTGCCAATCTTGCAAAGGCACTTGGTATCATGCAAGAGCCGAAGACCCAGCCTTGCAGCTTTGGCTTCGAGCGATGCAGCAGTTGTCACAGTGAGTTGCAGCACGCCTCTGCCAGCTATTGTAGTACAGGAAGGCCTTTTGACAAGGAAACGGGGCCCTCAAGACCGTTTGGGGTATATAGTCCATAATGCAGCACCGCTGTGCAGAGCAACTTGTCCGCGAGAAACAACATGCTTGCTTGGCAGTTTCCCAAGGTTGGAAGAGCGAGAATTGCAGCCGAATGCAGTGGTGGAACTCACCTGTTTGCTGGTTTCAGACCAAACGGCTTCCCGATTTCAGAGCGAATCGACCCGTCCGCGCTTTCTTGGAACCCCGAACCCCAACTGTGAGGCCTGCGGAGCGCTCCTCCGTAGCTGCAAGCAGCAGGGGTCCGACCCAAAGAGCCCACCGAGACCCACCGGAACCCGCCCGTGTGGAGCGAGGCGCTGGCAGGAAGCGCTGCAACTTCTGGCGACCTTCAAGGCGAAGGCCAGGTGGCAAAGAGCGAGTCCAATTTGGGAATGAAATTTGTGGCTGTAGCCACTTGAGCTACTTTAGCATACTTTAGCTACCAGGTGCCCTTGACTTTACGACTCTCCAGTGAGCTCATCAACGTGTGTGCGCTGGGGAACCTATATCTTGCTTTGGTGGTTTTCGTGTCTTGGGCAAATGATGTGCGTTTCCTACAACTTGGATAGACAGCCAAGGCAGGCTTCGCAATGGCAAACTGCTTGTGCAGCTCTTGCGCAGTCTGGCAGCCAAAGGGAAAAGTTCGGGTTTTGCCAATCGGACTGCCGATGGGAAGCAGCAAGACATAGTGACATAGTTATATACTTGCCTTTCGTTTGTTGGGTTGAGAACAGGATGATGTAGAGTCTTTGAGGCTGCAGAGCCAAGGACTAGACGCAGACGTCGGGATCTGTGCTGAGACACATCCAAGCAGCCTGAAATTCGCCCAACAACTTCTTGTGAAACCCTCAAACTGACTCAAACTCCTGTGACCTGACTCAAATTTTCTTTCCGATGTGACTTGGTCTCCGCATTCGGTTTCTGCCGAGGCTGTGGCCTTCAATTCGGCCATCGCTGCCTGTGCACGAGGCGCTCGCGACCATCGCGCGGATCGCACCGGTCGTCGTGGTCGCAGCTCCGAGGTTTCGCTTGGGCAGCGGCTCTGAAAGTGTCGCGAGCTCTGAGGAAGACGAGAAAAGAATGGCTTCAGAAAACGGCTTGTTGTAAGGTTTGCTTGAAACTGCTGCTTGTTGTAGAAAAGAGGGCTCATTTCTGAAGGGACTGCCAGAAGCGTTCAATGACTCCAACTGAATGAACATCAGCATTGAAGCGCAGTAGCAACGGAATGAGCTTGCAAGAAATTGTTGGATACTACTGTACTTGTGAGGCTTGAAGAGATTGGAGAACCTGTGATGCCAGCTCGCATTTAGCATGGTCTTTGACCATCTCCAGATGACAGCTCGGCATGCACGTACTAATGAGGTCGTTGTGTGGCAAGTGTGCGGTGCAGCTCGTGTGCCGTGCCAGGATGAGGTGAGTTTCACTGCAGTGATCAATGCCTGTGAGAAAGGCCCGCAATGCCTACGAGGGTCTCCGCTTCGCGATTCTCAGGTGAACGTGCTCGCATTGTCTGCTTCGAATCTGATTTGAAGATCCAGGTCATGAATGGGCCTTGGCCTTGAAGATCTTCGACTCCATGAGCTCAGGGCAACTCTGCTGAAGAAAAAGATGGCAGTTGACGTGAACAGCGGAAGTGACTTGAGCAGCGGAAGTTGAGCAGCTGTGAAACAGCATGTGTTTGTTTCAGGAGTTTGATGTCTCGCATGAGCCGGAATGCAGCTATCAGCGCTTGTGAGAAAGGCAAGAAGCTGCCCAACAGCCAGCGGGCATGCTAGAACCCACCTAGAGCACTTGATGCTGATTCTTATGCTGAACCTTTTCCACAGGTTCTGCTTGGAAGGAGGCACTCCTGTTGCTGGACCGGCACCTAAGCTATGCCGCGTCTCAAAGCAGAGCATGCCCGTGAATTGCCATCAAAAAGTTGTTTGGAAGTCCAACAAGGCAGGTTTCGTCGAGTCCGCAACAGTCCACTAGGTTTTGCACGGCTCAGGATCTGGGCAGTGCTGATGTGGTTGGCTTCAGTGCTGTCTGGATTCCCAAAGAGCTGTTTTGGAGATCATCCCTGGGATTTCCTTCTGTAAAGATGACATACAGTCCTTCATCAGTATCAGTGATAGTATCAGCATATTGTTCCGCTCATCACATCCAAGCTAGGTGGTAGCATCGTTCACACAGGTGAAATCCGACTCTCACGGGGATAAAATCCTCCGAGATCCCTCCCAAACAGAGCCCAAAAGAAGACCAAAAGCTCCCAAAAGAGGGGCTGTCGCTGTCACCAGTCGCGGCTGTCGCCGCTGTCGCCCTCATCCAAGGCCATGAGTGCATGTGCCCGTGCCACACATTGGCAGGAGGCGCTGACGACCCGATACGCCGATACGCCGACGACAGACACATCCACGTTGTCCCCGAGAGTTGCTCATGGGTCGTCAGGCCTTGGAGTTGCTCACAAGTCTGGAGAAGAAAGAGCTGCAGCAGGGAACAAAGGTCATAAGATGCTTTTTCTTTCAGATTCCTTTACCAAGCATAATGCAAGAGATGTATCTACATTTGCTTTGTGAGGCCCCAAATTTGCACGGAAGGAAGGGTCCCCCACACGCTCAAGGGTTGCCAAATGCCTCGAAGAAGCCTGACAAGTCCGGCCGGATAAAGTCCCAAGTTCCAAGAAATCCCACGAGCTCCATCCAAGTGCCGGTGGAGCTGCAGATTCCAAAAGCTTGCCAAGCGGAGTATGACAAACACGAAGAAGCGTGACTGTAAACAGTGCAAGCGGAGTAAGCGTGGCCGCGAGCGTGGGCCTAAGAGGAAGAGACTGCGGTCGACGCCGTCGCGCAGGCACGTCAACTCGGCGTCCCGAGTTGATATCAGAATGTAAGCGTCTTTGTTAGTGCCAGACTTGCATGGTCCCCGACACTCCCTGCTATTTGAATTCGTCAATAGACAACCTCTGAATCCAAGGTCCACACGCGCCCACACATTTCGACAGCGACATGTTTTCATTCCTTTTGCAACGATGCAGTACTAACGGACCTGTAACCTCCACCGGGTACGAATTCTTAGACCCTGCTCCTAAGTACCAAAATTTCAGACTCCCACTTTGAGATCAGCCCCTTGGAACAAAATCTGCCCCTCACAGTTTTGGCGGCTTTGAAAATCATCGTGTCCAAAGGAAAACATACGAGCCCACACCCTGTATTGTTTCAGATCCAAAAATAATCAACA